CAAAACGAAGCCAACCGATCAGACCCCTTGCTCATATCCCACGTGTTTAGACTCAACATACTTGTTTGAAAAGCATGTTCAGCTTGGTACGTCCCACCTTTTCCTGCATGGATCGCGACACGTGCTTGGTTGACATGTTGCATGAGACACTTATCGGGAAAAGAAAAGGAGCCCCCCGAACACGCGTAAGATTCCTGAAGGCGAACCCCGATTGGTTCTGCCTGGTTGGCGTGGAGCTAGCCCGAGTAACCGAGTACGTGTGGTCATGAAGGCATGCGCTTTTGTCACTCCAGGCTTTCCTCAAAACTCGTGCGCAGGACGTCAGTCATAGAACCCAGCTATGGGAGATACAGGGGTTCAGCCAAATAGTCCAGGGGCGGTTTGCCATTCTTCCTCCAAAATTTCGGTTGAACAGAAGGGCAAGCTGCGCAATTTGCATGCCCCCCTGCATTCCCCGTTTCAACGTGACCCTACCAGCAAGAAGCTCTCGATTTATATTGGCCCACAAGCTGATGCTTAAAGCCACCAAAAAGGGATACAACACCCACATAATCTTACCCACATTCACCAACTCCAAATGGGGCAAATGTTAGTATGTTAGTATACATTGCCCTTATGGATTGTGTGGGACATATAGGGAAGCCTGATTTCGGGAACGGGCTGAGGATCAAGTTCTAAGGAGGTCCCAATCCACATAGCTCGTTTGCCCCCCAGCGTCTTCCAGCCTCCGTCCTTGTGAAATGAAAATGCAGACTACGCAGAGCCCCAAAGTGTCAGCAGAATTACCAGCACAGCATCTGTGTGAAAAACGCAGGAGGCTTTGCCGCGTTGCGCCCGCCTTTTGTTCCTCATTCTCCCCCCTCACATTCCACGCACATGATTTGACTTAGCTTACAGCTTGTTCAACCTTGGCCTTTTCGGTGTTCCTTACTTTCCCTTTCAACCTGTAAACAGTTACCCTCTTCCCACCAGTTGACAAGAGGGTTGTGGAAGACAACCATCCTCTTGAAACGGCCTGTCCTTTAATTGTTAGAAAGGGGAACCGTTTGCAGGGGGTGGTTCTACCTAGCATGGCATCGTTCTACCTGGCCTTGTTGTTAAGGGAACCTCATTCACCGCAAGTGCACCTCTGCACCCAAAAGTGTACCTTTAGAACCATAAATGATAAACACCCAGAGACCCCATTGGCCATTGTGGGTGTATGTGGGCGTGTTTTTTGTTTGTTTTTGTTGTTTGACCCCCAAATGGTGTGTATCCTTGTGGTTACCCTTTAAAACCAAACAAGGGGGTACCATCCAAAAAACAGCTTCATTCTATACCAATACTATAAATTGCCTACACATTGTAGGTAGTATTCACCCACACTTACCAACTCCAAATGAGGCAAAAGGGAGCACCCGCCCAAATATTGGGCTCTCTTTTGGTTTCACTTCAAAACCAAACAAGGGGGTCAAGGGGGTACCATTCTAGGGGTTGATTTCCCATTCTTTTCATCCATTGTTTCCGGTTTTTGATGGTTTCCTGAAAAGAAGGATCGCTGGAAAGAATGGGATTGGAAGGTAACCCTAGAACCATCCAAAAAGCCGACCAGCTTTATGTTGGACAAGCCAAGAGGTGTTGGGCGATGGTTCTCGCTTTCCAGGCCGCCGCTCCAGCCTGGGGCCGCCAAGCAGTGCCTAAGCCAAGCTGTGGGCTCCAGGGCAATGCCTTTTTTTCCCCACGGGACCTCCCGGGCTAGTTTTTGGTCTGGGTCAACGGCAGAAAAAAGGGGGGTCCAGTAAAAGTGAAAGTGAATGGAGGGTTGAATGTCGGAAACAAAAAACAAATATTGAATAGGTCCTGTAAAAGTGAAAGTGGATGGAAGGTTTCCATGTCGGAAAAAGGACAAAAATGAATAAGCCAGCAGCCGACCATGAAGGGGTTCCAGACTTGGGGGAGTTCCCAGGGGTGCAGTTGATCCATGAAGACCTCGGGTGATGCTCCGTTGTTCGGCTTGTTTTCAGAGAGCGGTGTATCCCTTTGATTTTTTTAGCCCAAGAAAGCTGCTCTTGTTAGGACAGTTGAGCTATTCAAACCAGGGCAATTGTTTGATTGAAGGTTAATACTGGCATGGGACATGCATGAGCTTCAAACCGCCTGACGAAGTACAGTTGGGCCTTTCAGAGGAGTATGCTTGCTACAATCAAGGTAAACCTGCCCAATCGGTGAAAATTCTGGTGTCTTGCCAACTCCTGGACTCCTGGGAAGAGGCTACGAAGGAAGTTGCATGGCCATGAACTCCTTGCGGAAAGAACGCAGCAAGATCCCACGATGAACTTTGTCGATGAACTTTTGTCACAAAAGCTATAAGTCTTCGTACGGAGCCTTGCTCCCTGAGCGCCACCAAGTCCCTGCCGAAGTTCTGTGACACAGCCGTGGCTTCTGCACCCGCTTCAGCCTGAGCCCGGGGTGCTACATAGATCGTCAGACGCTACGGAGCCTTCCCGACATCCAGCCGAAAGACTTCATCGTTTTTGCGACACAGTGACACAGCATCTAGCGCGTCTCTGGTAGTGAGATCTTATGCGTTTTTGGCCCGAAAAGGAGGCACAATCACACATTTCGGCAACTTTCCCTCTTGTGTCAAACTCTCGCCCGTTCTGCAAAACTCTCGCCTGAGAAAAGGCACCAAAGGACACGTTTCGGCAATTTCGTCGCTTCCCTCGACGCAGCCTGTTATACGCCCACTTTACATACTAAGGACGTGCCGCCAGCGGAATGCGGCAGACCCTCAAGGTGGCTGCGAGCTGGACCAGGACACCCAGACGCAGGCGGCCGTCGCGCGCGGGCGAGCTGCTACCGATCGGGGCAGGATCAGGCACCTTCACTCAGCTTTCCCTTTTTGGTGCAAAAGCTGACAAGCACGACGGTGAAGGACATTCTTAAGCTGCTTTTCCTGCCAGTCAATAGCAGTGGGTGGTCAGCACAGAGCTCGCAGTACAGGAGGTTGAGGACCGCTCCTGCGGCAGCGCATGTGGGGAAGCTTTAAGAAGATCTGCGAGCTTGAGCTTGCAGGGCGACCTTGTGGACAGCTACGACCAGCGCTCAAGAAGCACTGCGCCGTGTGCTTCCTGGCCTTCGACGGGCACTGCTACATGTGCAAGGCAGTCAAGCGGGTGGAGCGTCCAAGAAACATGAAAAACCAGTCCGCAGGACACTGCCTGTCCGCGCTGCTCAATCATACCAGTGAAGTATTTTTCCGCGTGCCGCCTTGAGCACAATCGACGGTCGACTGAACAGAGAGTTCGCATGCTACAACAAGACAAGGCAGTGGAAAAGGAAAGCAGAAGTTCAACCGACCCGTCTTGAACAAGGGAATGAATTCGAAAACACTCTCATGGAAATTGCCTACTGGGCTTTGAAAGGAGCAAGCGATGCGCACCTCTTCAAACCTTCCACTCACCGATCGGCGGGAGGGTCTGCCTTGCTTTGCAGCGGTACAGTATGCGCATCGCCTGCCAGCTACACTCATTGCAGACTGGCCGATGACATTTTGCAGACAGCAGTTCCTGAAAGGAGATCTGTGTTCACTTGGTTCGGACTGGCTGCATGAAATTTGCGGCTGTAGTAAAGATTTTTGCGTTGCGTTTTTCAGGTCCCAGTTCCAGCGACGATCTGTGCTTATTAGGAATGGCCGGGCGACTTTGCAAGCAACACTTACTGCGAAGTTGTGACGACATCTGCTGGATGAAATTTTTCCACAGTTTGCAGCCGACAGCATGTTGCTTCTTGGCCGGCGGCACGACCTGCCGAGGTGCGATTTTTGCTGACTGCAGTTGGTCCAGTCAGGTGGGAAATGAAGAGGTTTCTTCGGTGCCCGCGTCCGCTTTGGCTTTGGGGAAATGTTTAGAGTGCTGCTTCCACGTTGTTGATTCGAGGATGCCAACTATGTTTGGGCATTTGCGCTGCTCTGGAGCTTAGTTTGCGCGCATGTGATTGCAGACTTGTGTTGCCTTCTGGATTGTTATTGAGCTTTTGGCGCTTTTGTGAATTAGTGCCCATGATATGTGGGGAACCTGACCAGGCGGTGATTGCTCTGTTTTTTCCGCTCCTTGCCCCAAATTAAACAAGGTTGTGTTTTGTCAATGTGCCCTGCCCGCTTCAATCGTCGGGCCATGGTTTTAATGTAATTAGAGGAGCCCTGTCTGATGGCGTTTCGTGGTGTTTCGGGCCTGGTGGTGTTTGGTGTTGCTCTGACTTAGAGGAGCCTTGTTTGATGATGTTGTGCAGCTCCATTGCTGATGCTTGCAAGTCCTGGCTGCCTTTGAGCAGCTTCTTTCCTTTCTGACGTAGTTGGATTGGTTGACCAGCGACTATGCTGTAGGCGACTTGGGAGAGAACACCTGCTGCTCGATTTAGTTTTAATGGGCATGTAGTGCTCATGTGCTGTCTTCCTACAAGGGCCTGTTTCCATCCGGTCTCAGGCACCCTGCACTGAACCTCGTGCGGCATACAGATCGCCGCTTGGCAAGAGCCTTTTGGGTGATACAGAAGATAAAGCAGTTGTCTGACATAGCGCAAGTACAGTTGTCGGTGGCGCCGACATGGCATCAGTGCTTGGTGGGGGAAGATGCAAGATGGATGTGTCCGTGAATGACGGACGAGTTGGAACTATTGAAGAATGTGCGGCATTTGCAGAATCATTGTTTGTCTCCGCACATTTGGATTGACATGGGTTAGTTGCAATACCGTCGTGCCAACCAATGTGCGTTGAGATTCCATCCTTTTTCTGTGCCCTCCTGTTGCACGATTGGCTGAACAAACAAGTAACATCACCATTAGCATCATACTTGAGGACACGCTGCTTTTGAGACCGGCTCCAGCTGCTCTTGAACCAAGAACCCCAGGGTGAAGGTGTCCATCTTGTTTCGTTATTTTTAGGCCCATGTGTATGGCGTGGTTAGTCCTTACAGCTTGCCAGTTGAGCTCTTGCGACATGCGGGTGCCAGCTGGCAAAGTCCATGCTTCGCCCGGGAGGCAGGCAAGGGCGGATGGCAAGTGATTGGATCGCTTGGTTGGGACAGAAACGCATGCTCATTGCCTGTTTCTGGGCTGCACGCAGAGAACAATTGATGAGTGTTTGCGACGCGCGATTGGACTCTTGGCGCAGGCCGCCAAGTCTTATGGCTTCCACAGCATGTGCAGGCTGGGACGGAATGTCAATACAGCGCACTCATGAACATCATGGATCGCAAGCCGCTCCATTCGCTGCATTCGTGTGTATGTTTGGTTTCTTTTGCTCTCTTTTGCCCATTCTGGAAAACAATAGTCAATTCAGTTATGCCATTGTGTTTGAACAACAGGTGAGAAGACAAGACTCATTACCCTTTCTCCATTTGCGTAGAGTGGCTTGCAGTGGCAAACTTGCGCTTTGTCTATGCTTTGGCTGGCTCATGTATCTCTGCCTTTTGAGAATTGTATACTTTCGAATATTCTATACTAGATTTGGGTAGCACTTGTTGCTTGTTGGCGTGCATGGAGACCGGACACATTGTCAAGCAAAAGCAACATCGCACAATTGCAGCACAGCGGTCCAGCTTTGCAGTTTTGTTTCCTCTTTTTTTCAAAATCGGAGGGGACCACATGCATACCTGCAGCGTGGGGTTGTTGGAAGCTGTGGCTTTCTTCATACGCGCGGTTTAGGATGGCACTTGAAGATGGAGCGGCGGTGTTCTTTTGAGACTACCTCATTGGACTAATGTGGCTGTGGGTCAAAACCAATGGTACCATTTTGGGGTAGGTGAATTCGCCACCCATTTTAGAGCCTATTTTAGTGGGGATTGGGATGTTCACTGGGGGTACGATTTGGATTTTGACCCATGGCCATGTATGAGAGTAGAAGGTGCGTGAAACGGTATACCCAACGAGGTGGCAAAAGGACAATGCTGAGCTCACCATGATGGTCCTCTACCTGGGGGTCCCTTGCTTTGGGTTTTGGAGTTATGAAATTTGCACATTGAATCTTCATTCAGTGAAGTAGGAAAGAGGACCTGGCCATGCGATCCCTTTGTGGAGACAGCAACATCTTCGCCTCGCAATCCCAGATCGGTCAAACAACATCCTCCAATGAAAATGGAGGGGCCCTGGTCCACATCAAACAATGTTTGTATTTTTGGTGCTTTTAAAAAGACGAAAGCAATCCCAAGACACGTATTTTTGTACATGTATGTGCGTGCATTATGCGCTGGCACACACGCACGTATATCCATCACGCATGTATATGTATGTGTACATATATATATATATATATAATATACACACACACACACACACACGCGTCACACGTCATTTTCCGACCGTTTCCCTTGGCAGAAGCAACATGATGGCATCCATTTCATTTGGCAGGCGCTGAGGTGCCAGCACTGGCGCGGTCAAAGCGAGTTGTCTGGGGGCCTAGTCAGTGAGTCCTCTGGATTTGACACCGGCCTTGACTCATTGGTCATGAACTTTAAGAGGGAACCACTTCCAAAGTGGTTGGTGGAGATGCATCCCCGCTGAATTCTGAAGTCCACCAAAGGGTCCCTTATTTGAGTACCACTTTGAGAACCCTAACGCATGGGTACGTTTTGGAGCCTTCGTGGCCCAATACTGGCTGGGCTGCGAGCATTGAGCGTCACAAAACCCCGGTGGGGTCAGAGCCGGTGCAACAGCAACAGGTTTCTGATTGTTTGCTGTAGGAAACTTCCTGAACTGGAAAATGGCGATTCATACCACAAATCAATGAGACGCGCAAGTTGCTTCCCACGCTTTTTGAGTCATTTGCCCACGATAAAAGGGGTATGTCCAACACCCCTCAAAAAATCGTCACCTTAATTTGACTTGTGGGGCAAGTGATGGATGGGCAGACGCAGAGGTGACTTTCCGCAACCAATTGGACAGTGAATGAACTCATAACGTTTTTTTTTTTTGGGGGGGTGAATAGTACCACAGCGACATGTATGTTTTGTAACATATACACGTGGAGGCCACGTTTGGCTCAAGTCACAAGTTCTCCAACCCAGCCTATGCGTTGCTGCGATTCGTATTCCGAACTCTTGCACCAGCGTCGCAGGACAGCACAACCATTCCTGTTGGGACACAAAGCTGTTTCCCGTCTCAAGATGACAATGTGCAACCAAAGTCTCTAACCCGTAAAACATGTGCAACAACGAACGTCTTACCCCAACAGGTATCAGGAGGCGAGGGGGGGTAGTGGTCTCAATCTTCTGCCTCTAACATTTAAAATGAGAGGTTTTGCGTAGTTGGTGTGTAGAAAGGTAGGAGGAGGTGGATGGTGCCACTAGTGGGAAAGCGTCATATCTACTCTGCACTTCTTTTTTTTCCACATGACTGAGAGCACTGCGTCATACGGTTGTTGATGCCTGTTTTTTCCTTCTTTACAGGTAGCAGGTGTTTCGTCTTTAAGGATTGAAAGGCAAGAAGTCCAAAACGGATTATGTGGTCGGCTTCAAGCATGGTTTTGTAAAGTTTGGAGTGCGCATAGCAAAGCAACACATTTTTCTGTTGCAGCTTGAGCCTCGTCCATCGGCAAGGGGGAGGGCTGGTGACCGTACCAATCATTTGGCCATACATGGCACACCAAGCAACACTCCCAAATCCATGTCCAATTGTGTTGACCCAACCTCATTTGAGCACGTTTGGTGAAATCCTGCCTTCATGGTTGTGTGAACCAACCTTTCTGAAACGCCAAAGTGGGCCACCCGCTTCGTCACATTTCACTGGGGTTTGAACATGGGCCACCCGCTCTGAAACCTGCGCAAGCCCCAAAAAAACAGAACCTGAAGAAGATGAAAGCTCTGAAGCAGGCCCAAAAGGAACAAAACAGAGAGAAAATTCGGACCAAGGTCCATAGTGCAAACAACATAATATGCAAAACCTTGTCATTGCTAGACTCTATTTGACAATTGACATCTAATTAAGACGTTTGCAAGGGAGCTCATTTTCAAACTCTAGTTTAAAATTTCAGTTTCGCCATGAAAACAAATACCATTGTTGTTTAAGCCACATTTTGTTACCTGGATCGAAGGTTTTAATATCCCAAGCAAAAAAATGTCTATTTGCTACGCAGCAAGCCAACGCAGGGTTTACAAACCCAACACTGGGTTTATAAACTTTAAGGGGTCAGCTTATAAATCTTCTCGGGGCGTGCAACTTGTTGCTTGCAAAGAATGGCGGGGGGAGGGGGGGAGGGGGGGAGGGGGTCTGTGGCCCCCCCCCTACCCCAAGAGTTGCCACCTCCCCCTCCCCTGCGTTTTCACTGCCCCCGCCTCCCCCTTCCCTCCCCCCCCCCCCTCCAAGAGAAAAGTTGCCCCGGTCCCTTCAACAGTCAAGAGTTCACAGACTAAACTTGGAAATAAATACACTATTCTTAATCAGACTATTCTCATATAATATTATTTGCAGTTTTCATCTTGATTGCAGGTGTCCTCGCAAGATGTACATGTATCATCACAAATATCAAACACATGTTCTCGTCTTTGGCATCAACTCCAGGTTTTGCTGCAACACGTACATGTTTAAGCAGGAATACCTTGGTATTGGCGGGGGTCCTACCATATACATATATATATATATATTTGTGCAGCTTCTTGTGGAGAGTCCTTGTTTCCGAGGGCCGAGAAGGGTCCATTTTGGGGATGCGGATCAGGTTTTCGGGCAGCATCCTCCAAGTGATCGGCACGGTTGACAAGTCCGGGCTGAACAGCACAAAAACAAAGGACAACAAGTGGGAGGTAGAACGTCGCATCACCGGAGAATACTTGATGGTTCTTCAAAAAGGAAAGGCCTCTTGTTTCCGTCCATGTTTAGTTTTAAACGGAGACCAAAAGGTGGAGTCTCCAAGAGGCACATCCATTTGGGTTTGTCTCTGGACGTTGGCCAGTTTTGCACTGCAAACTCATGTCGGGTCTCAGGAAGCCGAAGAAATGGATGGCGAGATTTCTTGAAAGCCATTCAAAAAGAGACTGGTTTGGAAATACCCAATGGGTGATTTCAATTTGATGTCTTCAATTTTGTGGGTGATGCGCATGTCTGGTTTCAGGCATTCCAGGCAAGAGAAACATGTGGCAAGCTGGCAAGGCACGCTTGCATGACGGGTGGAACTCCGAGATGCCCTTGCAGAAATGGGCCTGAGCTTTCCGCGAATCCTCTCAAGGGCTTGAAGTCGACGAGTGGCCACCTATCAATTGTTGCCCCTCTCCTTTTGAAAGCTCCAACTGTTGGGCATTCTGCACCTGACTGATTTTGCTGGGGCTCAGCCAAGGACATGGCAAGAGGCGTCGGCTTGCCCAGAGTGAAACGCCTGTGGCGGCAGCACCCCCCACTCCCCGGAGATGGCAACGGTTTCCTTTTGATTGACTTTTAGTTTTCTTTCGGTGTTTCACGCAAACACGGCACGTGCCCAGGTCAGGTCCCTCCACCCCCAGCTTCAATCTGCTCGGAGTTCGGCAAACAACTCTGAGTCTGCGACATGGATTTGTAGGTTTGGTACAGACACGGCTCAAAGCACTTGCTTGTTCCCAACATCATAACATCGGATCCTTTTTGGATGGTTTTGAAGGGAAACCCAACCATCAAAAGGAAAGCGGATGCATTCTTATAGCTCCAATCTTTATTTTTGGAAAGTCAAGGATCGTTGAGCAGGAGTGAAGAGATGACTGGGCCTCGCAGTCTTTCCAATGCGAATTTTGGGACGGAACGGGGCAAACCTGAAAGGTCTCGATTTTCTCCGCGCAGTGGCCTAGCTTGACGCCATCGCGCGGCCGCTTTAACATTTCGCTTCCAGGTATGCGCTCTTAACATGGACACCAATTTTGAGAAAATGTCTACCTCCTTAGGTGAATGGACCTCCTTAGGTTTCTTCAGAATTTGATGAAGTAACTAACACCTGGACTCTTGGACTCATAGACTCCTGGTGCCTCGTTCAGCACGGGCTCCAAGGCCCAAACACCTCCGAACTAGACCGCTATGCCCCAGGCTGCCAAAACCACAAGCCGAAGACAGCCGAAGCTCGTTTTGGAAGGTGTGCTGTTCCCGGGATTACTCGTGCCCACGTTGTTTCATGAAAGGCAAGCGTCGTCTACTGGGGACATGGAACAACCAACGTTCCCCACAATATATATATATATATATATTATATGTGTGTGCAGAGCAAACGTGTGCCAGGTTGTATTTTCAAGCCGAGAGAATGAGGTGGGCTTGACAGATCCTTTTTTGCAAAGAGCTTCCCTTTGGGGTGATGATTTAGGGTGACATGTTTTAGCGAGCACTGGCCATTGTGCCCAATGGACGCCCTGGACAAGTTTTGCCTCTGGCTGCTGAAGCGGCCGAAAGGCCGGCAATTTTTTCGGTGTCGAAAAGGTCCGTTGCGTGTGCCTCGCTCAAAGGCCCTTCGTTACTGTGGATGGTTGCGAAATATCCATTTCGCACCGCGAAATGAAACCATGATTGAAACCATTTGTTTGTTGGTATTTACAAGGGATTCAGACCATTCCAGGGTGTCTTAGGTGGTGCAGGATTTTGTCCATCCACAGTAGGGATGCTCCACCCGAGGAACTTTCGAGAGGGAAGCATGACGTCGCGGCTTGCAATTGGAGGCTTTGACCAAGAAGGCAACGGTGATCTACTTGTGACAACGACAACAAGCAAGGGAAATTCAATGACCAGGGACCTGGCCCCTTTAAGTGAAAAACGGGAGTGTAAAAGAGGTATGAGGAGTCACTCTCAAGAGTCGTCATCACTCAACGGCACATGTGCTTGTTGTCGAAACCTTTCTGTGCGGCTAGTGTGCTGTTGTTGAAACACCAGGTTGCTTAGGGTTGGTCGGAGCCATTTGCGTGGGGAGACCACACATTTTCAGGGTTTTGCTCGGGCAACCATGACCATGACTGACATAGCACTTTGATCATGGCGCACTAGGACATATACGCTGCCTCCCACCATAAGGCTCCTCTAGAGAAGAATGGTCCAAACCAGTGGTTTCCATGGCAACATACTGTCATGAGGGCTGGGGGGAAGGAAGGGGAGGGGGAGGGAGCCCAAACAAGCCCTAAGGGCGTAATAAAGGGCTTAATAAGGGCGCCCCATGTTCCAGGTGTGCTGGGTGTGGCGCTGGTGGTTACAGCCTGCTGCGCGCCCTTCGCACTGCAGCTGGTGGATGTGTGCCCCTCGCCTTACCAAGCGCACCCACACAACGTGCGACGTGTGTGCGCACAGGCCCCACTTTTTGCGTGCGTGGGTCTTGGGCGCTGAGATGTTTGAAACATCGCTGTTGGCAAATCTTGTTGGAACGATGATTTCTGGGGGACATATATGTGACCCTTCATGACGATCATACAGGCTGTGTTCTAATCCCAAAGTCACCAGCCACGTTTGGACATGCAGTTGCCCAACATCTGAAGTGGACATCACGTTCGGCGCTTCCAAGGGACATGTTCAATCCTTGCCACAGTGCACTTGGTTTCGAAAAAGGCAGGCATGATCTGATTCCGAACGGCAACAGAAAATGACCAGAGTTTTGCAGAAGGCAACATATGCGCACGCACACATGTCTACGCAGCCATGCACACAGCCTTTCTGGGAAGGCCTCAAAAAGGAGCTCCAGGAAGTGTCAGCAAGTTGATCGGCCAAGTGATGGCGGAAGCGCCTTTTGCCGTGGAACATCCAACTGGTGCTTACCGTTTGACGCAAAACTGATCCCTTGTCGTATGTTTTCAGGTTTGAGTCGAACAGACAATTCGGTTCCAAGTAGCGAGTGAGAAGGTTTCGGCTCAGCACCTTCACTCATCAGCGACTGGCAAGAAAAAAAAAGGTGGCTCCCAGGTTTCCAGAGGAAAACGGCCCCCGATTTTCATTGGGACATATTCGTTTTGGTCCCTCTCGCTCACGACTTGTCTCCATGAAAAGAGCCCCATAGAAGCCTTGATTGTTTGATGGTAAGACTTGGATTTGTCTTGAAATGGGGGTATAAGATGGATTTCACTACCCCCAAACCACTACCCCCGACAAACAAATCAGGGTGTATACCCTTTACAATAGGGGTTACATAGTGGTTGTATACCCCAGGATTTTTCTTGGATAGCTTCGGCTCGGTCGTGGAAATCATGGGGGAGCCCCCAACGTATCGGGGCCATTCAGGGCCTAGATCTCAGTTGTTGCAGGCTGGGTACGGGCTTTTGGCAGTTTCAAGCAGTTTGAGCCCAGTTTTTCAGTGGTGGCTTAGCACGGTGCGGGGCTTTATTTAGCTTTTTCATTTTGTTTTGCGGGTTTCGTCGGGTTTAATCGGGTTTCAACTTGTTTTTTCCCCAGTTGTGTTGGCTTTCGGCTTTCGGTTTTCGCTTTTCGCTTTCGCAGAGGTCGCTTTGCCTTCGAGCCGGTGCCCGGCACGCCCACCTTCGAGGCGCAGGGCGCGCTGAGGCACACCTTCCCGGAGCTCTTGGACCAGGCGAGGGGTTGGCGCGCGCGTGGGAAGCTGAGGCTAGAAGCTTGGAGCACGTCATTCGGGATGGAGCCGAGGTTTGGAGTGGAGGGACTTAGGTTTGGATTGGATTGGAGGGACTTGGCCTAGCTGGTGGAGAGTAGATGATCCTTTCTGGGGTTTGGATGGAGTTGAACCAGTGGATAGATGGGCTGGGTCATTGGATAAATTTGGTTTCTTGCAGCATTTTTTCAGGGAGTTGGCCGAGGGTTGTAGTTTCTGCGAGTGATACTGATAAGGGAATTTTCTGATTGGGATGGGACTCCCAGTTGGTATCACACCATTTGTTTTTATTATTTTATTTGCCTTGTTTTCCTGCCTTAAAAAGCCAAAGGGAAATCTGGCCCATTTGCCACCAGGAAAGTTGGATCTACCCTCCCACCAATGAACATGGAACCTCACGTCAGGGGGGTCCTGGAGGACCATTGTCCTTTTCAAGGGACCCCCGAACGTCAGGTTTCATGCCATGTGAATTGGTGGGAGGGTGTATATATATATATATATATATATAAGCAGCTTCCCTCTAATTGGTGGTTTGGTTTGGTGGGTCGGTTTGATGGTTTGGACGTTAAGGGGTGCCTGCCCCATTTGGTGGGAAAAATCTTGTTTACCCTCTGAAAGAACCACGGGTTCAAATCCCAAACCATAAATCCATACCACCAATGAAGGGTTGCCTGAGTATATATATATATATATGCGCACACCATCTGTATTTTCGCGCAGACGGGAAGACGTCTCCGAATGCGCAGTCAGAACGGTGTTTAGATGCTTGGCCCAACCAACAGATAAAACGCGGATGTGATTTGGAGACAAATCATGGTATCCGTTTTACCGCAGTAGATGACAGAGAAACATCGACCATTCCTTACATGGGCGACAAAGCTGGACAAAAACAACAACAACAACGATCAAATCCAAAAAGAGACGGTCAAAAACAGACACCCACAATGGGCCCGCAGGTTTTAGTCCATGATGTTTCCATTTACCAGGGCAACCCATTTTGGGTACCTATTTTTGACCCACAGCCACATGGGCTTGCACATTGTGGAGGACGTGGAGGTGATCCTGGTGAGCTGCGAGTGCGACGTGGCCAACCACAGCTTCGCCTTGGCGGCGGTGGAGGAGCTGAGAAGTTTGTGCGAGCGGCTGGACCGCAGCCACGCCCGGGGCCCCAGGGCTTGGAGCTGGCGCTTCGGTGCCATTTTTGTTCTTCTTTTCTTCTTCTTCTTTTTCTTATATTTTTTTTCCGTAGGATATGGAGTTCGAAATTTGAGCCACCTGCTCAAAACCCAGGTAAACGAAGGTGTTTTTTTCGGCGCTTCGGTGCGCTTCACAGGACAAGGTTCAAATTTCACAGGATAATCAAACCTGGGTAAATGAAGGTTAGCAAGGGACAATCCTCTTGCCAGAAATAGCTGCGGATATCCGCCTTCTTAATTCTTGAAGCATGGTTCTGGTAGACCATTTTAATACCGGGGTTTGATCATGACTCTAGTGGGTGCCCCTTGGGCCTTGCCAGTCAGGAAACCAGACATGCGAAATGCGATGTTTGTTCCTTGGAGGAGGGGGGGGAGGTTGACATTTCCTCTGAAGCCGATCTGGCAGATGGAGGGTTTTTCTCGTGCACGCTCAAATGACGGGTTTCAATTTTTCCCTTTGGCTTCAAGCCAAGACTGGCTTCCTTCGAGATTGCACAGCGGCAGCTGGACCCGTGCGATCTCGAATCGAATCCGAAGGAGGGGGTGCTGCGGAACTGGACGGACCACTTCCAGTTCGCCGCCTCGGCGGCGGGGCGGCTGCAC